GGGGGGGGGGGGGGCAATACTCGCGGTAACACAAACTACAAAATACGGGAGAGGGGGGGGGGATGGTCGTGTCTGCAGACGGGTCGGCTGCCTATGCGATCGTTGTGTTTGGGCCCTACATGGCGGCCGCCAAATCGAACGCCCACCATCCAATCGGGTCAAAAATGTGGTCAAGACTCCCCAACAGACCAAGGACGCGGGAAAAAAACGCAAAATGGCATTGGCCTGTCCGCTCATGCAGCACGTGCTAGGTAGACACGATTTCGTGTGTTTGGGGGGGCGGGGCGTACGAATGTGTGTGTGTTTGGGAGGGGATCGTACATCTACCTACCTACATGCGCTCCATCCATCCGCCTGCACCACACCCAGCAGCTGTCGGGGGCTATACAGCCCCCACACACACATCAACCACTCCCCGGTTCCCTTCCCCGCCTGCAGGAGACCCCCAAGAGAGCCAGCCTCACTCAACTCACCGAACTGCATGAGCGAGCACGCAACCAGGGTCTCCACCGCGTGCTTGGGAAACTTGGCCATGCCGCGGTACGCCTGGCAGGTGAGGATGGACCCGAACAGGTCCAGGACCGAGAGCCTGGGGAGGCCATCCTGGCGATGGATGGATGGATGGATGGATCGATCGGTTAGCGGTGTGGGCGCGAATCATGGTGGTCAGTCTGCCGGTGGTGCTGCTCTGCCGTTGGTGTCTCGAGGACGGAGTCTCGGCAGCGCGGGTTCTGTCTACTTGCTGTTATTTTTTTCCTTTTTGTGTTCTTTTTTTCTTGGGGGTCGTAAACAATGCTTGTAACCTTTATCCATCCACAGATAAAAGACGCCGAGATAAATTGGCAATGAATTTACAGCAGCGTTTATCTGATTTATCTGTCTCCCTACTCATCTCCGGACGGCATACCGTAGTCCAGCCGCGCCCTTCAGGATTACGAGGAAGTCCCGACTAATTGTCGTCGCAACACAAGAATATGTCAGCAGTATGTCGGGTTGGAGTCCAGAAAGCTCCCCCACTCGAGAACCTCTAATAATCTTTGCCGAGGCTGAGGTTCTTAGCTCCCCTCATGTGCTACATACAAATGGCCGCTACATACAAACGTTGTGGCGTAGGGGTTCTTCACCGGGCTCACACAAAAAAGGAACTTTAGATTTTTTCGAGGCTCAAAGATGTCGCTCAGCTGTCAAGTTCTTGTTCATACATGCGGGCTTTCGGCGGTTGCCGAGATATGGCTCAAAATGATGTCACCGCACCACCTTAGCGGTGTCGTAGATAAGCCCATGAATACCCCCCATGAATACCGATCTGTAGACACCTTGAATGAAATGGCCAACGATTCAGTCCAGTCGAAGTATTCCCGGAAGATTCCCCAGAAGGCGTAGGCCGTGGCCACGTACACCGCCACCCCCGCCACCACCAGGGGGTCCAAAGACCCCATCATCGTCGACACCGTCCTCGTAGCTCCCTGCTTCGGTTTCTGGCCGCCGCCGCCGATGGCGCCGCCGGCAACGGGAGCGCTCTATTTTTGCAAGGAAGCCACAAGAGGGAGGGGGAAGGGGGTGGGTAGGGGGGGCCCTAAAGCAGAC